GTTTTCATTTGAGCACAGTATCTTTAGGCACTGAAGAAAATATATCTGCTGTAGTTTAGGCAATCTCCAATGTACTGTAGCAATAGCAGCTCTTATCTAGTAAATTATTTGAGTATCACTGCCTCTGGGTGGTTCAGTGCTAGGTGCCAATTCATACCTGAACGATATCTCTGAGTGACAAATAATAAGATCAGCATAATTTTTAGGCAGTTGCCAGCTTGTCCTTGGTTTAATGAAAAAAAGATTCTGCTCTCCCTTAGTTTTCTGCAGAATCCATGGTTTAGTTTGGCAGTGCACAGGGTTCTCACTGACCTGGCTCAGCCTTTTACCATCACATCCATCCACCCACATGCAAAAAATCCCAAGATAATAGAAGTCATAGTTATAGTAAAAACAAAAACAAAACAATACATATATATATATATATATATATATAATTGCAACAACAGCAACAGAAAAACAGCAACCAAATCAAAACAAAACAGGAGAATGAGGCACTCTTCTGTGAGAGCCATGACAAAAGTAGAAATGTTCTCTGGACTGGTGAAAGTATTGAAAAAAATAAATACACGGTGGGCAAAATCTTGCTCTCATTTTAGATTCTCTTTTACTTACCCAAATCCCTTAAAAACATGAGAAATTTCTGAAGTATGTAGATTTAAATGTGATATTAATCACAAGAATCTCATCATTATTTGTACCACCACCCCCTCTGTTGAAGTGCAACAGTCAAATCCCAAGGTATGTGTTAGCCTTCAATCAAGCAAAATTTCACAGACGCCAAAGGAATTTGTCTCAGTAAAGACCAGCATGGCACATTTGTCCCATCAGAAGTTTACTCCAGTGTGGCCCTCAACACTGCATCTGCTCTCCAAGGGAAAGGTATCTGCTTAATGTAGGTTTGGGCCTTGGCTGCCATCTGAGTAATATATTGCACTGAGTTTTCACTCCTGTGGATACACAGTGCTGTGCCATGTGCAGAATGTAAACATAACGGTTATAAAATGAAGAAGCAGGGAGAACTGGAGAGGGCCAACGGGAACTACTTTGGCTATCTTTGACAACCTGGTGATTAGCTGTGGGGAAGATGGATCCATAGTCTTCTTGAAAGAATGAGAGGCATCAGTAAGGAAAATTCTTGCTAGATATAAGGAAATAATTCTTTACAGCTAGAGTGATCAAATGCTAGAAAAGGTTGTCCAGAGAGGCTGTGGGATTCCTATTCTTGGAGTAATAAAAAATGCTTTGGACCAGACAGCCTCCATACATCCCATCTATTTTCACTTCTTACAATTCTAAATTAAGAAAAATAAACATTTGGCAGTGATACAGACAAGAGTAGTCTTGTAAATCCAAGTTCGTACTAGTAAAAGCTGAAGAATGCAAAGCAGTTGTGACTGTGCCCCAGAGCAGTCCTCAATCTGTCCTTTGTTTTGAGAAGCTCTTTCTATACCTACATGGCAGCCATCAGCAGAAGCATTCTGTATGCCCCAGGGAGCGCTCAGAAAGTTCTCACTGATTGCAAGACTGGGAACAAATACAGGACAAATACAGACTTCTCTGTGTCAATTTATCATGGACAGATGGTCCAGAGACCCCATTTTCTGTGTGCTGTGAGTTGAGTTTGCATTCTTCAAGTATGCCTCTTGCACAGCTGTTAACTTCTTGTACCTACAACATTTTCTATGCACCTCACTTAACCACAAGCTGGGCTAATCTGTAATCATTTATAATCTTTAATTTAACCCACATGAGGGTATTTTTTAGGCTCAACAGTAATGTCATCATTCTGTTGCTCTTAGAAATAACCAACTTCCTTTCACCAAAAATTACAGCACTGTGGTTGCTGAGTTCTGCAGTGTTCATCTCAACCTAAATCAGGAAATAGATGTTCTAGATGTAACTGTGTGGTTTCTGTTGATTCACTGATATCGTAATGTTTGTGGTAACTTCTGCTCAGCTGATATTTCAGATTGCGTAGTATGTGCTAGATGAGGCAAAGCATAAAATGTTTACTCAGCACAACTGCAGCATGTTGCATCAGCGTGCTTTGAAAATTGAAATAGGCTCCAAGAAGAACGTGACTCCCCAATTGCAGCTGTCAGCACTGCTCAGCTTGGTGACACTGCTGGCATTTGCTACCGATTAAGATATGCTGGTGCTGAAGGAAATTCAGAGATGTCACACTGCCAGCCTCTAGTTGCAAAATATTTTAAATCCCAGCTCTTCAGCACTTAGGCACATACATAGTTTTATGCTGAGGCCTTACTTGCTTCCAAAGGCAAGTGTGCATGTTCCTCCAGTGTCTGGCAGCCTTTCCATAGCATGATTACTGTGGTGCGTGAGGAGGAGAGAGGTGTAGACTAGGACTGCAGAGCATAGAACAATCATGTTAACAACGTGTTGACCTTGTCTATACTCCACATACAAACTTGCATATTTTCCACTTGATATTCTCATCAGTATTGTAAGGCATGTGAATGAGAACTTATAGTGAAAGCAGTACAACTTCCTGCCAGCTTTTTCTTCATTGCACACATTTCTTCAAGGATAAGGACTGTTTATATCAGCTACATGAGAGAGACGAGAGATGAGTGAGAAGTTTAAATGCTAAGTGTATTTTTTTATACAGCATTATATTTGAAGTCTAATGAGCTAATAATGATATAATTTAAATAATACATACATTTTAGGAAGAAATTTGAATCTACAGACAGCTTTATGGGTTTGTGCAATTAGAATAATTTGCATTTACCACATAGACCATAGATTTTTACATTGTAAATATATATATTAGCATGTTTTGCATGGCTTTAAAAATATTTGGTTTTGTTTTGTTTAATCAAATGAATTTTTTGAAAATATCTTCAGTCATATGTGATATTTGCAAGTGCTTCTTTCAAAAAAGGAACTAATACAAAATTATCTGATTTCCTGAATTTGCTAACTATGCAGCTTAGCTGTTTGAGTATTCTGTAAAATCAACTAAAAAGTCTTCTTGGGTCTGGCTACTATTGTTATGGCACTGTGTTAGATCAGCAAGAGGTTCATGGTATGTGATTTTTTTTATTACTGCTGGTTAATGAGTAGCTAAAGGCCATAATAATCCATTGAACTGATGAGGCAAAGCACACCAAAAGTTCTTACTGGTAGTGATAAGAAGCTATATGTTACTGCTATTAAAACTCTTTTACTATTGCCATAAAAAAGTTTCTCAGACACCTTGTCTGAAAATCAAACAATTCTGTTGAAAATTATGAATATATAATTGGCATATTGCTTTTGTAAGCCTCGCTTTGTGTTTATGTTGACTTGCATCTTTAAGGCATGTTGCCTAAATGGAAAAGGTAAAAATATAAATTTGGTTCTTGCAGTGCAGTGCAGGAGGGAGAGACTGCATTTGAAGTTCTACCAGGGGTGGAGGTGGAACAATTAATTCTCGGAAAGAATGGTAATGCATCGGAACAGGCTGCCAAGGGAGGTGGTGGAATCACTGTCTCTGGTGGTATTTGAGAACCATGTAGATGTGGCATTGAGGGACATGGTTTAGTGGACATGGTGGACATGGGTTGGTGGTTGGATGAGATGATCTTAGTGGTCTTTTCTAACTTTAGTGATTATTTGATTCTATGACTCTTCGAACCCTGAGCTGTTGTAAGCAACAGCTTTGTACAGAAGCTTCAGTGTAGCGATGGTGTAATCTCATCAAATTTATTGCAATAAATTATTGTGATTCAGTTTTCTGTCATGCAAAGTATTTTATATGTTTTTTGCTTTGTTTTTATCACAGGTAGAAGAAACAACTATTTGTCATCTTTAAAATAAATCAAATGAAATATGGTTTGCAGCACAGTCGATTCCCTCAGACTGATAAACTGTGGTAAGTTATCATCATTTTCCTATCTTCACAGAATCACAGAATTGCAGAGGTTGGAAGGAATCTCAAGAGATCATTGAGTCTGACCCCTCTGCTAAAGCAGGTACCCTACAATAGCTCGCATAGGTGAGCATCCAGACAGATCTTGAATGTCTCCGTAGAAGGAGACTCCACACCCTCTCTGGGGAACTTGTTCCAGTGCTCCATCACCCTTACTGTAAAGAAGTTCTTCCTCCTATTTGTATGGAACTTCTTATGTTCAAGTTTTAGGCTATCTTCCTCAGAAACAGTAGAAAGAAGCAATCTGAAAAACACTAACACAAAAATTATTTCAATTGCATTTTATGCATCTCAGTTCATACGTTTTCAATTTCATACACAAATTGTATATTTGCAGGGCTTTTAAAAGATCTCCTTATTGGGCAGTCAGAATTGGTTCTTCTGCCATGTCTGGTTTTAACCTTACTGACTTAAATGAGGATAATTTCAACCAGAGTAAGAAAGAGGAGATAACAGGCATCAGTGGTTTAGTTTGGATTTTTGCTAGTTTGCAAAAACTGAAATGGGATTTTCAACTAAATTTCAACATTCAACTAAAATTTCAACATTTTTTCTTTTTTTTAATGGATTGCTAGTGGCAAAGGCAAAGAATCAGTGACATTCTACAGGTTCATGCCTGGACGTACCGCTGTGAGAACAGTTGCTAGGCTGCATTGCAGTGATGAAACAAAGGTCTGAACCATCTTATACAGAAAGAATCAGATCCTATAAAGATTAAAATGGCAAAAAAAGGGCTGGGATGGACTTCAGGTGCCAGTTCAGAAACCTCGTGTCAATCCTGAGACAAAGGTCCATCTGAGCTGTTCTCTGATGTCCTGAGCTGACCTGCTCCATTTCAAAAGCTCCATCCAGCACCTTGCTGGGATGCAGGCTTTACGCAGAACAGGTCTTAAGGGGCCCTAATCTGTGATGTGTGATGAGAAAACTTGTTGAGTACATGGATAGAATCAGCTGCTTGCCCTCCTGCCCTCCCCCCCCCCCAACATATCTGTAGTATTTTGAAAATGCAGGTGGGTGACATGCCCTTGTTCGATACAGGGGCCAGAAGAGTGAGCCAGGAAGTGGGGAGCACTGCTTCACTTCCCTTCTCAGCAGAAGATGCAAACCTGCAGCATGAAAGTGTGTAACAACCCAGCTGCATGCCTGGGAGAGGGCGGAAAAAAAGAGCAGGACTGAAACAGCTGTCCTAAAGATGTGGAAGAGGGAGGTGCCGCTGAGCTAGTGCTGATTTGTCAGTAATATGCTTCTGCTTTCAGGTTTGCTTCAGCAAACACTGAGCAAAGAGGCAGCTCAGCCACCGGCCCTGCACCCAGCGCTGACAGGAACACTGCGGCAAGTGACGTCAGAGCAGCTGCGTGTCCTCATCTGCAGGGCACGGCCTGCTGATGTGCGGCTCTCCTGTGCCGTCAGTCACGCGTGCTACATTCCGACAGAAGAGGGCTTCCCAGCTTCACCTTCAGCGAGGCAGGTCCTGAGGCATGGGGGTAGGAACTCCAACGTGTTCTGATCGAGCAAAGCGAGTCTGGCTAATGAGATATGCGTAGGTCGCTCCGAAAGTAATGCCTCCTGTTTTTTCCTCCCATAGAAACTACAAGATGCAGAGGGCACAAGAATGCTATTTGCTAGAGCAAATTTTCAGTTACAAAATGCTGTTTTTCAACATAAGCACTACTATTAGCTATGTATTTTCTTCAGCAGTGAACAAGAGCCTGCATGCTGTGTTCGTTACAATCTGCACCAGTGGAGGTGATCCACTGTCACTGTCACCACAGCTGAAACGAACCACCCACCACCTCACTGTGCTCACATCCACTGTTCAATATCCATAAATGTGCAGCAAGTGTCAATGAATGTCAGTGGGCACTGAGGAATGCAGAGACATCGCTTTGTATTATACCTACTTCCATGTCAGATGCCATCCTGCCAGGCTTTCCCTCTGCTGCCATCTGTCCCACAGCAACAACATGTAATTGGATATTGCTGGGAAGATTCAACCTCTACTGCCATACCATCAACATCCACCCCCATGTCATAGGCCAACATAAAAAAAAATAGGAGGCATTGCTTTTGGAGCACCTCTTGTAGTTCAAAAAGCAGAACCAGGAGTTTCTCTCAAGGTTGCTGGGTTTTTAAGTGCCCAGCTCCTGAACAGATTCATGATTTAAGGGGCAGAATCTGAGTTCTGTATCCCAACAGGAGGAAGTATTTCCTCTGGAGAGGCAAAGCTCACCTGCTTCTTTCAGGCCAGTATAATACTCAGCACTTCACCTTCTTGATGTTTTCTCCTGATGGTACACGAAGCCAGACACCAAAACAGACTTTGGAGATTCATCTTTGAGAGCTAGGCATAGAAGATATCTGGCTTGCAAAGCCTAGCTTGTAGCTACCCAGAGCTTCTTTCTGTACCAGAAACATAAGTGGGATTTAATTTTGCATGATCTGAAGTTTTGCTTAGTGTCAGTTAGAATCCATGTTGTATTATTTTCATTAGAGAAAGAAAAGAAGAAACTCTGAGGCTGCTTTTGAGCTCAGATTCAGCTGCACAGCTGAGCTGAAGCCAAGCACAAGATAGAAGCAGAGTGAGGACATGCCACGCATTAGCATTCCCCCAGCAATGTGAGGAGACCTCTTGCAATAGTATGTGCCAGAACAAAACAGTATGAGGACACCCCATGCGTGAGCATTCTCCCAACTTCTTCATGGCCAGATGAGTCAGAGTATGAGGACATGCAGCCCGGGCCCTCACAATGAGCCAAGGGTTGGATCTTCCAAAGCAATGTGACTGCAGTAGGCAGGCTAATTTTAAACTAGGCAGAGAACAGCGGACACTTAGGAGGAAAATGTCTCCTGACATTTCTCACTGCAACTGACTTCCAATAAGTCTTCATAATATTCTAATAGACACTATTATTTTTCTGGAAAGTTACTGTCATTTCATACTTAGGTGGTATTTATTTATTTGCATTTCCTAAACAAGTATATTTATAATTATGCCTGGGTTGATCCTTTATTTTGGATGAGCTGTCTTGCTTTGATTTAGAGATTGAGAATAATTGAACTTTTTGACTGTCACACAATTTTGCTAGGAAATATTACACATGTTTATATGGAAAAGGATTTAAAGTTCCTATATTTATAAAGTGAGATCAGCCTGCCAAGTTATGAAACTTTATTTGGAAATAAAGTTTTTCCTCAAGTTTTCTTTAGACACTGGTATAAACATTGGAAATTTAAATGCCAAAGATATGAGTGTCACCAAAGGAGATTTAAAATTAGACTCTTCATTACACATAAATATGCTGTTTTGACAGACCATCTTCTTTTCGCCAGAAAGCTAGTGGGCATCTGTTATGCTTCCATTCCTTGACAAGTGAATAGTCTGGAAGTCCCAGAATGATTTCTTTGAAATCAGAAGTAAATCCTTCACAGCAAACCTTCAGAGTTCAAGCATGAGCTTTTTATTTGGTTTACAGTACGTTTGGGGAAGCCATTAAAAGAAGTCATCCTAAAGATTTACATACACTGCAAACTATAAACATAGGTGCTGCAAAGGGTGAAGGAATGTGCCATCTACCCTGGGAGGATTGCACTATTTTGTAGTGTTCAGGGTGATGCAGGTTAGGGGCCTGATTCTCGCTTTTATATCACTGTGAAACAAGAGTAATTATCAAAGTCATTGGACTCATCTCAGTATTAGATGGCCATTTAAGAAAGAATTCTTGTTTGAGACAGTTGTCTGGGTTTAACTTGGATTATAAGTCTTAGTGGGTGCTTAAGCATTTCCTTAAATACCTCTTTATATGTAACCTTCAAAATGGACATTAATTTAGTGTTTTAAAAGTTGGGTCCCAAGATACATGTACCTATTATCCTCTTTTCACAAAGTACCAACAAATAACTAAATATTTTTCATTACTTTATATGTATCAGATTTTCAAACCACATATTGAATATAACAATACTCTACAGCATTGAGGAGTCCCAACATATGAAATAAAAGAATAAAGTGAACACATAAGATGTTAAAATCAAAGAATTCAAAAACACATAGAGTAAGCCTACATTGTTTATCTTTTTGCTCTTTTTTTTTTCTTTTGTTGCCATTAGATGTATGACCTGACAATACTTTGCAAGACTTTGCTAGATTTTGCTTTTTTCTCAGGATTTTTTTTTCTTTAAATTTTTCAGCTTTGTAACGGGGTACTGTTGAGCCTTCACAAGCTCATCCCGGCAGTGACAGAATCACTACATAGTTAAGAATGTTGCAACACTGACTTGAATGGTAAGTTGCTACAAGTTAGCATCTATTCATCAGAGGAGCCTTTTTTTTAAATGTTTTTTGTCTGCATTACTTGCCAAAAGGCTCTTATGACCAAAGTCCCTAGCAGAGACTCTGAAAAAGCTATGTATGACGTTGGAGGGGGGGAGAAGCATTCCCTCTTGAGAACACCATTTAACATAAGGCAAACGTCTTTCTTTTGACAGATGGGAATGTAATCTCTATGTAGTCTTTCAGCTTTGTTTGACAGTTAGCTTTGAAAGCTGGAGAGAGATGAGCTGGTTCTGTTCAGAGCTAAGCATGCATCTGAAGCGCTAGGTATGTCAGTGACACGCAATGCGCCTTTAAGATCCTTGGTCTGTAGGCATCAGTGTCAAAGCAAACTTACCAGCCTGAAACAAAATCAGATATAAGATCTGTCCAATGGAAATCAGGGAAGGAGATGGATTCTAAAATATAAAGAATTTATTTTCCTCATTACTCTGAATGGTAAAAAAAAAGCCAGTTGTCTGTAAAGAAGCAGAGAGAAGAGAATTGAGAGGGTATGAAATTTTATTCAATTTCAAAATCCTTGCAGTATAAAGATTAATTCCAATCAGGGTAAGATGAGAACTCTTAGCCTGCTGACTGTCAGTCCAGTGTAGCTTTGGTAAAGCAGGGATAAATGGGATAAGTAGTTAAAGTCATAATGTGTGAGCACAGAAAAAGAAGAATAATTTTACATGGAAAAATTGGAAATGGTTTAACGAAGAACTGAAAAAAAAAAGTAAAAAATGATGTCTGGAAATGTGCCCCACAGTTAGGGAATTATGGAAGCTCATCCAAGAAAAGGTTAAGGCATGACTTGACCCCAGTTTCTGCAAGGATCCTTAATTTAGCAGACAATAGCATAATGAGAGCTGGTGCCTGGAAAAAAAAAAAAAAAAAAAAGCCAAATAATTCTGCATAGAAACTCATCCCTTTAAAATGGGAAAAATTCTGCTCACTGGAATAAGGGAGGTGATAGATTCCATCTTCTGAAGTCTTTAAATAAAGAGCAGATTTCATTCTAAAAATAACTATAGCTCACACATGTTATGTGATTGATATAAGGAATATCAGATGAAGTATTATTTCTTGAGCCATACAAAAGTAAAACTAGTTGGCTATAAGGTGGCTTACAGTCTTAAAATCTGTTCTGGTATTTCTTCATGTTTGAATGCTTTACTTTACAACCTTAACAGCATTATTCATCTTTTATACACTATTTTTAGCAATTCTAAAATACAGTACCTTTTGTGGGGTTTAGATCCAGAGCTCCTAGGACATTTCAAGACCATGGTGCTGCTACCACAATATTGGTATCAATATTAGCTTACTGTGTAAAGGTTACCAGCGGAATTCTGACACACATACCATGCCAGAGTGCTACAGAGCTAATAAAGAGTCCTCAGAAGAATGTTAGCTGCTAGCATTCCTGGAGTTTATGCCTAGATTTGGCACACTAAGACAGCAATGCTATCAGTAAGTGTAGCAAACCACTGGAATTCAATATTGTTAGTCTGAATGTTTGAGATTCATGGTTTACATATAGACTCACCTCAATCATTGCCTGTTAGATGAATGCATTGATCTGTGTTTGCCTTCTTTGGGTGGAGGAGGTAAGAATTTATTTAGTAGTTTAAAGGATATAGCTGTATTTTAATAGAAGGAGAGAAATGAGAGAAGGTACAAACATGACTTCTTGCACAGGAATGAAGTGGAAGAGAGAATAAAGGATTCACCTAACAAAGTGTGGGAGAAGCTGCATAAGCTTGTGGTCTCAGTTACATCATTTGATGTGTCTCACACTCGCTACTAGTAATTGGATGTGAGGAGGAAATCTTCATCCTGCTTAGATATTTTAAATTCATACTTGCTTTCTTAGGCATGCAAAGAGAGGTTGTGTTGACTCATGTACCTGTTTCTTATCAGTGGAATTACATGTAGCACTGCAGTGATGCTTTATAGCTCAGGGCTTTTCCAGTGCATGCTGTGTTCTTACTATACATCATGCCAGTTTGTCAAAAAATGGATCTTCATGGATGCAGAGTAATTTTAAATTTGTATACAGTCAACTCATTCAGCATATTATAAAAACTGAATGTATTTTTAGAAGGACTCATTGCAGCTTATGGAGGATTAAAACTTTTTTTAAACAAAAAACAAACAACTTTCCACTTGATTACAAAGCAAAATTTCCCTGATGTGAAAGTCATTAAAGCAACCTGCTATGAGTCAGCAGTTACAGGACATAAAAGATACCTTATAGCAAATCAGATGTAATGCAAGGGAAAAAACAAACCAATTGCCAATTTGTTCTGTGCTTGGGTCTCATGTGAAGGAATCAGAAAGCAACAGGGAGGCTGCTTTACAAAGCTTATGCAGTTGGCAGAATATCTATCCTGTGGCTTAGGCATTTCTTCAACTACTTCATTGAGCTATGACAAGAGAGACTTTGGTGCAGCCCTCTAGACGTTTTGCTCCAAATCAAAGTTGGTTCCTTCTGAAGTGGAACTATGTTTTACAGCAAAACAAGTCTCTCCAGGCACATAACTTTCTGCTGACATTCCAGCTACTGATTCATGCCACCCAGTTCACTCTTTTCTGTCTGAACATGGAACTGTATTTCTACGACTTCACAGTTAGAAAGAAAAAAGGCCTTCCTGAGCAAGATTCCCATGTTCACTCAGAATTCCTCATTCTAATAATATTAAACCAGGTGGGTTTCATGTCTTCAAGCCAATCAAATTTTGTTTTACAAAAATCTGGAGATTGAGAGTCTATCTGGATAGTCCTTGTTTAAATTCTAAAAATATTCAGAATCTGTCTCTGGATGCAAGTACAGAAACCTCATGGAACTTGCTGGAGATTTATAGTGGAGCTAAAGATGTCCCTTTGATACAAGAAGTGAAAACGAGTTAGAATAATTTTAGGCAGAAGGGTTACATCTGTAATGATACTGTAGTGTGATACCAATCTGCTGTTAGATATCCTCAGGCTTTAAAATTATAGAAATCCCCTTTTTAGTTCTTAACCTGTCTGGGGCCTTAAATGATTAAACTCATTTTAATCTCCTTTATGATCTATCTTCAAAATCACTATCTCAAAGAAAAAAAATTATATAAATGTCACTACTTGTGATTGAGACCTACTGCATTTAAATTTCATATTGGATTTGACCTGGCCCATTTTTTTTTATACTTCTCCAGATCATCCAAAGGTAAATTTGTATGTCCTGATACAACAAATAAATATAGTGCCAGAGAAGGATTTTTAACATATATGTGCTGATATTCAAGACCTGCCCGGATGCTTCCCTGTGCAACCTGCTGTAGGGAACTTGCTTTAGCAGGGGATTGGAATCAAAGATCCCAGAGCTCCCTTCTAACACCTATGATTCTGTGATTCTGTGATATGCTTATTTTCTCTAAAGTTTGGAATAAAATCAGTTGACTGGTCTAAATTTAAAACATCTGTGTGTGTCTCATAATCTGAAGTTCTCTGAAGCATAACTTAAAATATAGCCTAAGATACATGTTAAGGATTTACCAGCAAAGTCCTATGCACGAAGTAACTCCCTTCAGGAAGAATGTTACATTATTTGACCTGTTAAATGACTGAGTGTCTCTGACAGAATCTGAGCCAGTATCTGTTTTCACAGCAGCATTAATCAGAAATAATTGCATCAAAGCCAACACATACTTCCTCTTATTCAGAATTAAATGAATTTTGATGCTTAACATTAAAATTCTTGTAAATATGTTTATTTGTCACATTCTGTAAACTAAAATCTTCATTGTCCGTATAGTTGGATGAGTGTCCTTTCAACTGCACCAGCGATGAGAAAATTTAGAAAATGCTTCCATTACAGTTGAACACAGTATGCAGCTATAGAACTGAACTTCATGAAATGAAATGAAATATTTCTTAGAATTCCCTTATCACGTTCATATATTATAGTAATTTACTTTGATTTTAAGAATTCCAATCCTTTTTTTATGTCCAGAGTAGGACCAGTCTTTTTTGTTAACAGATCTCTTGGATTCCAGCTTTGCGTTTTCAAGGCTTTTGTTAATGTAGGGACCAGCCTACATTAACAAAAGCTTTTTCTGCATTCTACAGACCAGGCAGCAAAAGAAAAAAAGAAAAAAAGTAAATAAATAAATAAAATGAAGTTGAATCTTTTGTTCCCTAAAGTCCAGGTTTCTCCTCTCTTATTCCACTCCCCACCCTGAAAAGAAGCAGAAGTGATGCCGTTTTATTTCTTACGCTACAAAGAGGCTTCAAACACTGTGAACCTGTGGAATGTATCGTATCCTCTTTTCCTTTACAAAGTGTGAGAAAGTGGTTGTTGCACTGAAGTATGCTATGTTGGACATAGAAAAATCACCTGTTCCCCTGCACCATTGAATGCTCTTACTACTGTGCTGGGAAAATGAGTTGTTTGTGATAAGCAAACAGGAGATATTGTGGCACTTCGTGTCATCCCTGAGCAGACTCCAAACTGAATTTCCATCCCACTCTCTAGCTCTGAAGCTACTGTTCTTCTTTCACTTCTTTTTACTTCTCCTATTGTTCTTTTAGAGACCTAAAGGTGAACCTCAGTGAGAGAGTTCTGAAATGGATTTCTGAGTCATTTTTATTTTGCTCTCTCTCTTCCTTTGATAAGGGCCTTTTGCACTTTTTACACTAATACAATGAAAAATGCAGACCTACAGAACCATCTACTCTGGTTCCTCGCTTGTTATGAATTTCTTTAATCTGTATGAAACTCCACAGCCCATTTAGGCAGTAGTTCAGTCTTGATACATTGTGGCTGTAACTGCAGCAAAAATGCCTGCAGAAGTGGCAGATGCTGGGGACAGATAAATCCCATGTTTCTTGCTGCTGACAAAGAAGAGAATTAAGCTGAGGAGGAATAGTCATTGAAAAAGAGCCCAGTGTGAAATACAGAAACGGAAACAGCCTAAAGACTTGTGGGACCCCAGAAAGGGAGCGCTTTCCCTGAGCAGAGATGTCTTACCATCAAATTCTCTTGCTGTGACAGTATTCTGCTCTTTATGAACCTAAACAATCTCTTTAGCAATTAGTGATATATATTGATAAATATTAATATATATTGATAATGTATTTAGAAATTATTGACATAATACTTATATCAGGGCATAGAGAATACTCAAAAGCCCTATCAGATGGTAGAGAATTGCAGGAAAGCCTTATGAAATGAATAAGCTTTTCACTACTTAGCTAATCAGGTAATTTTCATAAAGTGAGATCTTAAATCACAGTGAAGAAGTTTTTTATGTTGTAATGGAATGGGAGACTTCCCTATAGATGTAGAATAAGGTAACTGACTTGAAGATTATTTTGTACTAAGTAAATTCACAAACAATTTCATGTAGTTTCTACATGTTTTTATGGTAAGTCTTGAACCCTGGACAGCCTAGGTAGAGTAATACAGAACTTTGTTTTACAGCTAAAAATACCACTTGAATATTCCCTTATGACTTTGTCTGGACAACATGGTATCCATCTGGACAACATGATATCCATCTGCTGAATACATAGACTGGTGGAAGGTAAAATTCTATTCACACTTGTCTAGGTACATCAGATGTTGCCAGTCAGCATTAATAGTTGCATCTCAAATACATGCCTAAGTGCTGGGCTTTACAGCACTGTGTAACTTACAAATGATCTTATAGGAATATTTTATATGTATATTATGCGGTATATATTCTGTTACTGATGGCATCTTCCATTTTTTTTTTGTGACTGTAAGATTGTAGGTCTCACAATAGAGTCTGAGGTCAGTTAAAGTTGCTGCTTTAACATATTCATTGCTTTAACAGACTCCTAAGTTGGTTAACAGGTGTTCAGAAATGCGAGTATGTCCTGCTCATGGTAATACCTTGCTTCAACGTTCATTTTTATCCTTTCAGAGCTTGCTTTGTTTCTTTAAGAACCTTCCAACGAGTTGTGCAATACAGCAAGCCTGATGATAAGGCCTTGCTGATTATTCTAGCAAGAAAAAAAAATCTCTAAAATAAATGTTTTGGATTTCATTTTATTTGTCATCTTTTATGAACAAATTAAGAAATATACTTCATTCACAAATTGGAAATATTTACAATTTCTTTACAACAAGGCATTGTTGAGGTTTTGATTTATGGCATTCTTAGAGCATTCTGTCTTTCAAAACAAAGACATTGGCGTTGTTTTCAGCACACTGTTCTTTTACACTCTGCATGTGAAATGGGAGCATTTTGGAAGAGTAATTTGCACTCTCTTTTCGATACAATCTACTGGGCAAACAGGCTGGATGCATTTGCAGTGTGAAAAGGAGGCTTGTGCAGATGCGTTGCTGGTACCATGCCACATGATCTGAAGCCACCATAGTACACCAGATGCTGCTGACTGCAGAGAAAAAAAACATTCTCCAGAGCCATCCTTCCTCTGCCCTTTTCCATTCTCTTCAGGAATCGTGTGGTTGGGTTAGGTGTGGTACAGTTACATTATTTCATCATTATTTCTTCATAAGAAGAGTCTTGAAAAGTCTATTTCAAATACTATCACAATTCTGAAAAGTTTTTCAGACAAAGAGTATCCAGAAAGTGAATAAATACTGTATATCCGCAAAATGTTTAGGAGATAAATTTTGAACATGTTTCTAAAAGGGAAATGCAACTGTGCTGTTCTGCAGTTGTGACACTTGAGCCATAAAAGCTAAGATAATTCCATTTTCTCAATTTCTGGAAGTCATTTTTATTTTCCTGAAGAAAATTCTAAAACCATTTCATTCCACGGAACTTTAAAAAATCTCTTAGTATACGCTTCCGTTATAAATCAGATGTGGACCACCATTGCTTAGGTTGTCTGTCATTTCCTACAATAAGAAAAGAAGACACTGTTACAAATTACAATTAGCTCATGGTGTTTGGAATTTAGTTATCTAAGGTTGGAATAAATACTTAAATTCTGAATGCCAAACATTCTGAAAAACTGCATTTTTTATTTAGCTTTGTAAATTTTACTGTAAGGGAAAAATAATCTCCATATATAAAATTAAATACATTGGAAAGCATCTTGAGTCGTTGATACTGATTGAGTTGTACATTACTCTCAGGCCATGTATAAAGCACTGATGGCATCCCTGCAAGTTTTGTGACATTGTCCTTTGAAAGTGCATCAACTCAAACTTGTGCAGTGACCTACAAAGGAACGAGACAGTAATCAAGTTTTCATTTCCATTCAAACCTTTTTCCTGTGCTGACATACTACAAACAGATACCATTTGATGCCAGCTGGGATAGACATTTTGTCATGTAAATCTAGATCCAAAGAAGATCCAAAGGGCTTTCATGCCTGAGTGGAGACAACTTGTCTTGGGATAGGACTGATTTTGATTTTCCCTTAATTTGCCAGACTACAATTTTAGCAATTCAGCAGTTGCTCTTCAAGTGGCAGATGAGTCATCCCAAAGAAAGGTGATCTGCTCATGAGTCAGAATCCTAAGGCACCTAAACCAGGATTTGTTTCGAGTTAGATTTTCTAACTCTCAAATTGTGGTTCAAATCATACCTGCTTAGCAGCTGTCTAAGCTCTCAGATGACTATATTCATTAAACACTTCTCTAACCTTCAAGGCTGCTAATCCTCATGGAATTTATGCCCAGAAATGCCTGATTTTGAGCAGTCCTAAGCCTATTTCACACCAAATTGAATTAGGATGCGGAAATAAATTGATCTGTTGCTTACATTCAGTGACAGATCCCAGAGAACATCCAACAGTGCCAATGAATGCACATAAATATGCAGTTTGGGCTATTCTTTTTAAACTTAGACAGGTAAAGTAGAGGTACCACTGTTATGCTAGTTTTAAAATATTTGCTTGAGAACCAGTAGCTTTTCTCTGCATGGAAATATTGAAATTCACCTCTTGTACCTCCTAGGCATAGTTGGAGGAAATGTTGAAGAAAATAGTTGTATTTTTTGCCCTTCCTGTGGAAGCTTCTGTCAAGAAAATAAAGCAAGAATCACTGGGCTAAAAAAAGAGAAGGGGAAGGATAGAAGGAAAAGCCCTGACTCTATAGTATAGTAGCTGGTAAATTTGGTAAATATAAGGCAATTATGGGGCCTGGTCTTTATTCTGAGTTGGCCCCTTTCTCTTTCTTCTTTTAATCTGTTTATTGCATTTATATATAGTATGGGAAGCACAAACCAGAACTCACAGTTTCACATAAAGCTACAATTTAAAATAGATCACAAAACTTAATTGTTCCCTTTATGTTTTCTGAAAGAAGAGACATACTATTCTCTATAGTAAACTTAGGGCCATGAAACCAAGTGAACAAACCAATCATTAGTTTCAGGCTTCAAATAAGAGAAGGCATATAAACTTTCCAAATTTTGAGCATTTTCTATCACCCAGATCTCAATTTGGATACTGATGCTAGGTGTTTTTATATGTTGCCTTATTCTCCTTAAATGCTGAAGAAACATCTAGAAAACATTGTTTTCTAGATTCCTGTCTGGAGGCTACCTGCTCAAAAACAAGGCAGTACAACTTCCAGCTTGTATGTGCCTGAAACCTTTGTCTGTTATAAAATGAAGTTATTGGTCAGCTGGGAAAGCGAGCAAGAACACCAGTATAATTTAATATTAATTATCAGCCACAAGTAAAAAGTAATGCTCTGTCAGAAAGGTACCCATGAGTGAGTGACAAAATGTATGTTTCCTTTTGTCAGTTTTACCACTTGAATTCTTTGTAGACATTAGCAGAACAGATATCAGCAGAACTTCAGAAAAAATTCAGAACCATTTATTTTCCCCAATATTTCTATCCTCAAAAATAAAAGTACTAATAAATTAAAAGATGTTGCTGAATTCAAGAAATGAAGGAGCACACAGATTAGAAGCAAAGTGAATCAATGGTGGCAACATCCAAATAGGAGCATTTGGATGTCTGTAACTAGGGTGAATATTTTAAATACTCAACTTACTTCCAGATTGTAGCATTCACCACGTAGAATTATGTCACCACCTGGAAGCACCATTCCTGACCTAGAGTGACATCACAGCATCAGCCAACTTTGATTAGCTAAAACTGTGACTTCCTCTTAGAGATGGCACTTCCTGAGGTGACATAACAACGTGGTAGCTCCCTAGTGGTCAGCGTACCTTGGAGGTAACTCTGGTGTCGGGGGAACCACCGGGCAGCTGGGCAGGTCGGTTATTTCAATACCCCTCAATCTCTAATATAAATATAACAATTATACAATAAATATAGCACAAACAAATACACATGCAGTACATGTCCATATTACTGTATATCAGTATAAATATACAAAAAAAGTTTTATATATAAAACACTAGAACTATTTTTTAAATTAAAGCCTAATTTATTATGACTTTTTAAGTTGTTTTCATTCTTTTTTAAGGGCATGCCTTGAGCTAATGTACTCAGACCTGCCAGCAGCAGGCAGTCTGCAGTCTGTAGGTCTGAGAAGTCCCAGATTACATCAACTACGCATGCATACTTGATTCTACACATGCAGCGAGTCCACTACTGGTGGAACTCATTTCACATTCACTGAGCATGTGCAATAAAGTTGCTCTGCTCATGCATCATTGCCCTTCACTCAAGGTAAGTAGGCATCTGGCAGTCCTCACAGCTACTTGTCTAAAACCTCAGTAGATCAACAGGCAAGCAAATGGGGCAGAGAACTACTGCTATACTTGGTCACCTCCAGCCCAAATTGATAGGGTTAGCAGTTGCTTGTTTTTTGAAAGACGTTTTGCCAAGCCATTTCTTTTGTCTATACCTTTCTTTTTGTCTCAGATGGGCTTCATCTTTGTCCTTAGTGAGGTAAGAGCCTCCTTGAAAGGCAGGATCTAGCCTACTGTCTGCAAAACCATGATTATGTTTGCCTATGTAGCTTATCAGAATTACTCTTCATTTTAAAATGAAGAGAAATGTATTTCTTCTCTAGATTTTATTGTCCTGTTTTATGTTGCTGTTGTAACCTATACTAAATAATTTTAAAAACTTGTTTCAAACATTTTTTAACGTGAATTAATCTGAATTCCTGCTTGGATTCTCATTGCAGATAAAAAAAAAAAAAAAAAAAAATCTAAGAATAGTGACAAGTAATGTTTACTTAATGGACAATTAGTTGCTATATTGTGAACAGGGAATCTGAAAACATTCTACAGTCTGAATGAATTAATCTCCTTGCTAGTATTCAGAGATCTCAGTTGTTGAACTTAGCTGTAATGTGAACTGGCATGTGATAGGCAATCCACATGACTGCTGTTTATTTCCCTAGTCATTTCTCAAATGAAAGTCATTCAATACTAACCCAAAACATAAAGAAGAGGATGTCAGTAAACATCTTACTCCTTGAAAATGAATCAGAACCCTAATTTCAATTGCTTATTTCAAGAACTACATTAAATTTATTTATTTATTTTTGTCCTTTTATACTCAACTTTACACTGTGGTAAGCTTCCTTCGAGCAGAGAAATGCAATAAACGCTTGGTGCTGCCGCAAATCAGACCAGTTTCATTTAGGTGTCTAAATATGCCCTTAGGTGCTTACGTTTAGTCTTCTGGGTTTGTGAGCTACGGCTTTTGTGTTTAAATAACCTACATTATGAGTTGAGTACTTGGGAGAGGAAGAAATTTATTAAACCTGGAAGCATGCAATGATGTGGTTACAGAAAGCATTCCGTGCTTTTTCACAGTACAGTACATGATAATCCATATTAATAAGGCTTCCAATTATTTATGATGTGCTATATTTAGCAGCTGAGCCCCTGGATAGCTATACAATGGAATTGTGTTGAAAATGGATGTACTTCATTGAAATGGATGTACTGCAAATATACAGTACCTAAAAATAGCTCCATATAACGCAACATAACAAAGCGTACACAGAATGGCAGCGTTTCATTTCCCAGAAGCTCTGTCTCATATAAAACTAAAAATTGAATACACTTATTGCCAATTGTATACGTTAACACATATAGTAGTTTTTTAAAGGAAGCAGAACAAATAAAGAAAAACACACAACTCACTTTTTCTGCCATTTCATGGGAGTGATGCAATGAATGTTCTCTTTCTGAGAACATTCGCCTTTGTTCATAGCTGGCTAGCCGACAAGTGAGCCATGAAGAAAGGGTGCAACCACCAATTCCAATGCATGCAAGAGACATGGAGGCAAGATGCAAAGAATAGAGAGCAGACGACTTCTTTGTGAGAGCACGAAGAAATTGAAAATTTAAAATTCCTCCGATTAGTCCACAGATGCAACAGGCAGAAAAAAGTATCATCTGTCAGGAAAGACAAGAGGTTATGTCACAGTAACATTTCTTAGAGACAGGTTCATTCATATAAAAAATGAGACCAGCTCAGACCCCTCACTAAGATTCAGTTTGTAACTCCCACAACTCCCACAGAACTCCAAGGGAATACAGTACTCTTGGGTACAACAGTTAAGATTGATATTGCATATAAGGTAAAGTTTGGTAGACTAAGTTGCCCATCCTAAAAAAATAATAAATGAAAAGACTGCTAGGATACAAATATTCTGATTCCCAGTCTTTCACTCAGGACAGTAATGTAACAGAATACATCATAATTTTCTATTGTGCAGTTTCTCACCAATCCTCACAAGTGAATGCCTCATGTATTTGTGCAATTCTCTCTTGTTTGTGTAACAACTGTCTGTGCCTCCTTGATTCTAATTTGTTCAGTCTAACACCAACTTGCAGACTTTCTACAGTTTTTTTGTGGGGGCTCCAGATGTGTTTAATGTGACTGTGCTGGATGAGGAAACAACAGAAATTAAAAAATTTAGGCATCTCTACTGCAGTAGAGAGTGGACTACATTTTGTATTTTTTTTTTTTTTTTTAATGTGGTTAAAATGCTTTTGGGAAGTGAAACAGGCTGCAATTGTGGAAACATATTTAAACACCTCACTACTATAATCACGAAGATACCACCTCTGATTCAGGATGTCTTTCAGCCACAGATCACTTGAGGTCAAAAGACCTTATTATGGGCCTATTGCTAAATGATTGTCTTATTCACTTCCCCAGATGTTGATCTAGATGGGCCTTTGATATGACTCAGTATGGTTTCATATATCTACTTATTTAATATTAAATAAACAGTTTATGGAGCTTTACAGACTACTTCTGTGCCCAACTGAGATGAGAATTTTGTCAGGGAGGTGGCAATCAGACTCTATTCTGCAGTTCACTAGGAAGTGACTACTGCTTGAGACCACCTGAACAGACAGCTTTTAGGAAATGAGTATGGTCAACATGTTTTAAAGAATGACACTGTCATTGGAACAGAGTAATTCATTGGTATTCAAAAATAGTAAGCGAGAGATTGATTCCCTTCATATTTATACTTGTTTTACAAGACTTCCACATCTTCACAGCAGGACATCCAAACTGACTGAGAATTAAAGCCAGACATTATCACATATAGCAGGGCTGGGTCTTTAACATAAAGACAAAATGTGTGTGGTGACAAAAGGCCTGTTTCAATCACATCATTTTACTGCAGTCAGAAAAATGACTGTATTTCTGATTCTTAGTAGAAATAAAATGTGATCGTCTTAAAATTGGCTTTTTCACAATTCTGATTTAAAAAAAAAAAAAAATTAATAAAACCATGAACAGTAAAAAATACCTGAAATTAAACTAGTCAGTAACTTCACTGAAGTGGTAGCAGTCATACCCCACTTTACAAAAGTGAATTACCATTCCTTCTTTTGTAAAGAAAATTCAATGATTCAATCCAACATTCAATCCTCTTTCTTGATCTGTCATAGGTTTCTGTCAAGAGTTTTTCCATCTCCACAGGGAGAATTAGGGATGTATAGCTTAAATGGGCATGACATAAATATGCCATTTCAGAACTGCTGTGTATTGCTTGATGAACCCAAGGTACTGACTGCTTTCTTTGGACTGCTGGCTTGCAATGTTTACTGATTTTTTACCAGAAACACTTGGAAACAGTAAATCTCAAATAGAAAGTTCAAATTAGATAAGTATGACTTTCAAATATTTATGTGTTATATATGTACTGGAAAAACTTACGATAAGTCCAGATTTTTTTTTGGCACACAATATTCCACATATGCCACAAAGCAGAAACTGAAAAGAAAAAAAGAAAAAAAAAAAACAACACAATTATTTCATCATTAAGGTCTCAAATTTAAATCTTTCTGTGTTGCTATAGTGGTGACCACAACAGTAGGTTAGGCAATGATCATAGTTGTCAGCATTTTCATTACAAACCTTGTATTTCAGGAAGATATAACTCAGCTTTAAACACACTTATCCAAGCAGAAACTAGATTGAGAAGGCAGATTGAGGATGATTAAACATAAAAATAGAAAATAAAAAAAAAGCTTCATAAGGTAGTAATTGGTGATCCAAATCCTACTTCATCTAATTTCAAGTTTACCAAATGCCCTAATCCTGAGGTGTGAACTACTAAGGGATCATGTATGGATTCCTGTCCTCAAGATTGTGGAACTCTGGGCAGGTCAGTCAACTTGTCGGGTGCAAATGGAAATACTGAAGAAATCTGTTAATGTGGTTACAATGAATGTGCTGTAGAAATTGTTTCAGATTCTAGATAGTCCATGCTGTGAGAAATAGCATGAAGGTATCTGTCCTTTTTCATGCAGTTCCCTTTTACAAACAGATCTGACAGTTACAACATCAAGCATTAGGCAAAATTTGATTAACAAAACCAAAGACACCCCCACACCAGCTCATATGATATGAGTAAATTTTAATGTGTTTTAATGACCCCTGCCGAAGACCAGTAACATTCTCTAATGTCTCTTTCTCCTCCTATAGAGAAGTTTAAGAATAGTTCCTGAAGGCATAGTCATGGCAGTAACACCATTAGTTGCATGAAAGCAAGAAGAACTTCTCCAGGTGTTTGTAATTCTGCAAAAGATTCCTTCAATACCTCATAAACTCCGTGGTTAAGAAGTCCATGCTACTTATTTTCAGTAAAACTAACCCTACGTCCTTACTGGGAAGTAGTTTTGTAGTTTTAAGATTGGATTTTTCCAAATCCTTTTTACTCTGAGGTTGTATTTCTAGCAAAAAACGTCAGTTGAGCTTGTCAGGCTGGCTATAACATAAGCAGTTAAAAAAAAAAAAAAAAAAAAAAGTTGTTTCTATACAGCATATATGTATATTGCATATACATTTTATTTACCCTCCAAAATTTTGCAGTTTCAGTATCTCAGCTGAGAAGCTGCTTTAATATATAGTTTATCTCCCTTTCAAATAAAATTGTTCATGCATGTTGGTAGGTATAAGCCTTGAGATGTATTTTTGCTCTGAGTTAGGCCCATTTAATTGATTTCCCACAGTTAATATAGTTAAATGCTGCGTGTTATTTGCCAGTCTGCTATGAATGGGATGTATGGTATATGGACATAATACCAATCTGATCAGAGAGAAGGCTGGGTCATGCACACCATGGCACTGGATGACTCAGGACACACACAGCTGATAATTGCTGCTAAGGCTGGAATAATAACAAAAAAAACAGCAGCAACAAAAAACTAGTATGAATAACTCTGTCATTTTCCCACAGGCAGAAGAGTTCTTAACTAGCATACCTGCTTTGTAAGTTTTTACTCAAGCTTTCTGTAAAGTTTTAAAATTTCACTCCCAGTTCACTCCAAATCACCTTTAAGCAGTGCTGTATACTTATATTACTAGAATATTTCCCCGTTGAAATCCAAAGAATATTGAAAAAGGTGATCTGCAGGATGTAAGATGCTGGCTTCCAAAAAATGAGTGATTATGTTTTTCCATAGATATTGAAGTATTTGAAGGGACTACCTGGAGTAAGGTTTTATTGTGTTAGTCTCTATTTTCTGTATGCATTTTCTTTCTCTGTACATCTACTATATATACACAAGAAAAAAATATATAAATAAGAAATGCAACAATATAAGAAATAAGATATTCTGCATTGAAAGAACAGTGAAAGGTTGGACTAGGTGATCTAACAAGTCCTTTCCAACCTTGTGATTCTATGATAACTCAGCAGAGAACTCAAAGGAATTGGTTATCCCTGGTCCTCTAACATTCTTTTCTGCAAGCCTGTAAAAGTCATGCCTAAATTTTAGAATTCATATGACTACCAGACAAACAGGTTGTAAAACTGAATGAACTAGTGAGCATGAACGTACTAAAAACCATTGATGAAAAACATCTGGGGAGTAGCAAAGGATAACTTTATTATCTATTGTTGTTTTGTGGTTTCTGTTGTTTTGTTTTGTTTTGTTTTGTTTTTACATAATAGTGGTCAGGCATGGAAACAGACTGCCCAAGGATGTCACCATCCCAGGAGGTTTTCAAGAAACACGTGGATGTGGCATTGTGGGAGGTGGCTTTGTGGACATGAGTTGACAGTTGAACTAGATAATCTTAGTGATCTTTTCCAATCTTATTAATTCTATGATTCTATGATTCCCATAGAAAAGTTTTGTTCAAAAAACAATGATTATTTATTTATAAAAGTAGTTATTTTTCTATTAAAACCAGTGGATGAGTTTGAACTACGTCAGACAATTAAACCTCATTCAAAGCTTTGAAAATGCTTATCCCTCTCTTTGGAGGCTGTAGAGAATTCTGGTCTACTAGGAAAAAAATGGAATCTTGCTTTACAGAGAGAAAATTAGTGACACATGGAGCGCAAGAGCACTGCTCAGAGTTGTCTTAGCCAGGCTTCTCAGTGTAAAAACCTTTAGAAAGGTTAGGAAGTCAGACAACGTTTCGTGATTGACTGTGATAAGTTCTTTTTGACAGACCAACTAACAGCTCTGGAATTTTCTTCTTGGTGCTATAGTAATTTTCTGTAACATTTTTGAGGTCCTAAAGCTATAGTCAGCAGTAGTGAAAAGTAGATGGGAAAAACTATTGTGACTCTTTGTACCACAAAAATACTGAGTACACATCAGTCCCAAAAGGAATTTCCTATGTTTGTTCTGGTTTATCTTTTAGTTTTCAGTTTTCCTTTTTTATAATACTGCCAGCTGGAATACAGCCATCAGGGGCTCTGCTGTATTGCCACTCCCTATGTATTCTTAGTAATCTTGAAATATTTAATCTTCATGTTGATATGCCATAGCATTTAAACTTGACTTGTATCTGTTGACTGTGGTTTATGCATGCCTAACTAATACTGTCATGTTGAGGAATTGCTCCCTTCTACATGACTATTGATTATATCCAGGCAATTTACCAACCTCCTGGACTCTTTAATGTAATTACATTTTCTAACTATGTCAAACCTGAAGTAAGTTAAGGCAAACAGACTTGTGTTAAAATACAGTAAATTAGGAGCAGAAAAAAAATATATCATTGAAGATAAGCTCCATATAAAGACTGATCAATTGTTCAAGTATTCACAACTTATACTGCAAATAAGTCTAAAACATTTCATAAAGGATAAGCCAAATGAATAAACCCTCCAAGATGCCCTGGAAACTAGAGAGAAATGTTGAAGCATGTTTCACAGTTGTACCTTGTTTTAAAGAAGATTCATAAATAAAAAGATCAAAACCTCACTTCTAAAAAGTGACATATTTCACTATTTACAAGCAATTCCCATTATTTCTGGGGTTACTTTTGCTTGCAGATTTAGTCATACATGCCATAATACATGGTGTTTCAGGTTAAGATTATCAGAAGGAGGCAGGGACTGAATGTATAATAGATAAGAGCAGAATCTCTCTTGGATGATTGATAGAAAATTCAGAGGAAGATATCACAAAACTCAAAAGCTTTTTAGACTCCTTTTGAATCTCAGTAGGCTGTGAGAGCTTTACTCCCACTTCCAATGAAAATTTTCTAGGAACCTACCAGAGTCAGAGTCCTCCTGTTAGCACAAGTGTGATTGCAAGGTGATGCACTGTCTATGTGCCTGTGGAGACTTTGCCACTCACCTTACAGCTGTGCCTGCTTCTGTTTAATATGCACATTTGAAAATCTCTCTTTTGGCCTATTGAACCTTGGAGTAAAGAAACAAAGACCACCCAGAAAAGGGGAATGTATATTTTAAGCTTGCTTTAATATATTTTATATTAAATTGGGCTTGAAACAGAAGCTCATATCCAAACACCCAGAAATTTTGGTAAGGAGGCTGAAATCTCAATTTAGATTCAAGTTTTGTGGCTTGGATCAATCCCTATTTCATATTCTCAGAAACAAAAGACTTGGCCTCATTCACTTTCTCCTGGAAAAAAGGTGCTTTTCTTACTTGCATTCTGGAAAAAAAGATTCAGTTTTAGTTATATTTGCAGAAAGCAAAAGATTTGATGATTTCCATCGTGCAGAAGAAAATGAACTGCTTTTACACTTCATGTTGAACTTCATTGGAGGAGGAGATAAAAGTAGTGGTGAATAAAATTCCTCTGAGAAAATAAACTGTCCATGGAAACTTTCTGGAGAGAGAAAGAAAAGAGTGAAGAAAACCTGTTGAACATAAGGACTGCATGATCACCAGTTATTGCTCATGACAAAGCACAGACTACATTCACTGAGTGGAGAGCCCTCTGGCATTTTAGGTCATACATATGTATCTGATGAAATAGAGGAAATTATTTCAAATCTGTGTTGGATTAGTGTTTCCTTTCATCTGGTTCTAGGCCTTCAGAGATGCTTTAAAATTGGGAAATGGTTTTTAGAAGAACTCAGGGAAATTTAGAAGTGAGTCTCTGAAGCTGAATGTCTTCCTGCCATCAGTGATTCACAAAATATCTCCCTGTCTGAAAAAACACCCAACTTCTTGGCACAAAAGAATGTTTATTTACTTGTTTAGGACTTACTTTAGAGTAACAGATACTAAATGATTTTTAAGTATGTTGTTTAGTATCACACACATAGAGTATGACTGCTTTATTCTCAGAAACTAATAAATTAAGAATTATTCCCTGCAGGTTAATGAAAGCCTTAGCAAAAGTTTTCAGCTTATACTTAAGTCAATCTATATTCAGCAGATATTCCTAAATACAAGCCAGGCAGTAGAAGTTTATGTGAACAGATCATCTTGCAGATTGGTGTGTGCTTCTGGGAGGTCTGAATGATAAAGAAAATCCACTGAAAGACTCCTCAGCTGGAGTGAATTGTTCTGGTTCCATGCAAAGCAAGACGCTTCTACACTTGGTACACCCTCCCTCATCTACAGATACAGAAGTCTCTCCAGTTCCACTGAGTTCACTGACAGTGCTGCAATTCATTTCATCAGGATAAGGAGCCAGCCAGAAATAGGGTCAGTTTAATGAAAATTCAGTGCACGTGTTGAAATAAAGTAGGATCACATCTGCATTTGGTCTGCATGATAAACAATAGTGTGACTTTTCTGTGTTCTTTAAAATCAAAACAAAAAAAATTACTAGATGTTCTTTTCCAAAAGAAACTTGGCAACAGTAAGAGCTAAATGCAAAAATGAATGTTTTAAAATTTTAGACCACCGACATTATTTAATAGTCCAAAATGATACTCCTGCTCTGGGAAAGTTTCCTACTGACTGGACCTTTCTCTTTTCCTTCAAATCCTGGATTTAAAAAGAAAGTCATTGAAATGAGTGCTTTAAGTGCCAACTTGGAGCAAATTTCTATAGCTGAACTGTAAATGCACATTTTTAATGGATGGAGAATTCTACAGTGCTACAATCAAGAATTATGGAAATATCTGCTGCTACAGACAAACATCCAGAGATTGCATATTGATTAAACATATTTAGGTATATATCTCTATAAGCAAAGAGGCTGTCTCTCTGAGGGGCATAACCAGAAGTGAAACGTCAGGTATCTCTCTTGTAAGTGAATATAGATGGCACATTTGGCTGAAGATGTGGCTTTTGTCTCATTCTCTTTCTGTCTCATGAAGAGTCTTGTCTGTAGCAAGAACTTCTTCATCATTGCAGAATAAAAGAGAATTAAAGCCATATATGTATATGTGTGTGAGCGTATAAATAGTGATAGTGATGCAACTACATGTTCCAAATATAAATGGGCGAGTATATGACCACTTAAAAATATTTATGAATATGTTTTGAAATATTGTCTTTTCTTCTTCTTCTATTTATTTATTTACTTAGTACAAAAGTATTTGCAACGAGTGCTGTCATTCTTGCTAATTTAGTGGTAGTGGTTCAGCAAACAATCCTTGGATGGATCACTTCTATGGTACACCATATAACTGAATTGGAATAGTAGATTTCAGAACTGTGCCTCAGTCTCTAGTTACAGAAATTTGGGAGGCACCGAGTACAGCCTATGGTGCTTGTGGAGTAGATTACATCAAGGCAATCATTAAAAACAAACAAACAAACAAACAAACAAAAAAAACACCAGAAATCAAGAACATGTCCATCTTTAGACTGTTTGGACTGTATGTTACTTTGGTAATTTATCATAGAATCATAGAATGGCTTGGGTTGGAAGGTACCTCAAGATCATCAAGCTCCAACCCCCCTGCCGCATGCAGAGCCACCAACCAAATTTAGCAACCATGGCCAATTTTTAAAAGAACAGATTGCATATAATGTAAAAGAAATTAGATATTCATCTACACCTGCTCTGGAGAATTTGCTTCAGCTGTTTTATTTTGGCTTCTTTTTAAACAACTCTTAGCATCTTAATCCAGCTCAACTTAAATGAGAACAACAAATTTAGAATCTATTTTCCCATTTCCATGCATTTTTTATGTAGACATTCTCTAGGTTTTCCATTTCTTCATTATTGTCTACTCCATTTTCTCAGGCTTCCTCATAAATAATGCAGAGCATGCAATGATCAGAGCACTTTAGCCCAAGCTTAACTTCACTTGTATCTAATCTCATGGGCAAGATTCACATGTTTAAAGTAAGGTGTGCTAGTAAATTATCTGGCTGAATGAAGATGATGAACAAAAAGAACAACTCTTTAAGAAAAAAGCTAATGTATGTCAAATAAAAGACATCAGAGGGAGGCAAGTATAACAGATAGAATGTGTATAATTTTAAGATTCCCAAATTTTAGGAATGCAGGCTAAGGTTTCCATGGTGATGCTATATTCATCTGTTTCGTTATGAACTTGGACCTCTGCTGAGTTCCACCCACATCAGTAAAGAGCAGAACAGGGTCAAAAGTATATTTTCAGGTAAATTACTAGAGGACACTGTTCCACTTAACTCAAGTGTTGGTTTGTATCCTAACATATCAAAGTGTCAGTTTTTCCTCTAATCTCACTTTCTTTTTTTTCTCATTGTTCATTTCTCCAAGGAAAACCCTGATTCAAGAAAGTTAATCAGAAAAAAAAAAAAAAAAAGAACCCTTTATGCAAGACATATTCTTTAATACAGCCAGCATGTGTTCAGTGTAAGACCCAGTGAATAGAAAGGTGAATTATGCCATTTCTGCAGCATCACAGTTCTGGGTATTGTGTAAACAAACCTTTCTCCAGATCTTTTGATTTGGACTTAAGCATCCCTGGAGAGCAGTAGGTCTCTGGCTCTGTTCTTGTCCCATCTCAACTGCCAGTCCTCTAGTAAAGACACAGCTTTACAGACATTTGAACCACTGGAGTGATACAAAGAGGATGTGACGATGTGACAATTTAGACAAAGGTCGTTAGCTCAGTGCAAAGTAAGTAAGCCTTATGATGTGTAATCCCAATCTGCAGGCTGCTGATTTCTCCTTTTCTTTACTACACACAACATAAGCTATTTGCTTTTGCTGTACAATTTCTTTGTGGCCTCCTCCTGTCTACCCATCCTGCTGACAACGGTCAAACAGTTGATGCCTGTCTCTACTGCCTCTAATTGTGGCACCCACGTGTTACATGTTCTAACAAATCTCTTTGGTTTCCCTTCCATGACTCCACATTCACATAAGGGAAAAATTTTCTATAATCACCTGGAAAATCACTTCATTGTCCTCTGTTACCTCTGTCTAAATCTCTACCTACAAACAGCTTGAAATCAGCCAGACTGCTGATGTGCTAATGCAGCCACCTGTTATACCAATCAATTTTGATTTGTCCTTTAATTCTACATCTGTCTCTTTCTTTGTTTGTAAGGTTCTCGGAGGCAACAACTAATACAACAGAATCTTAATCTGTGTCTAGTACAAACTGTGGGATAACAGAAACCATAAAAATGAATTAAGCAGTTGTGCAGGAAATGTGCATTGTCATAGAATGGTATCAGCTGTGATTGCATTCTCACAAAATGCAATCACTGCATAAAATTCTGATCTCACTGACTGGTCAGAATTCTCAGAAGCCAGGATGTTACTTCATTAGATCCTCAGCTAGACACATTTTTGAGTAATCTTTTTTCTTCATCAACAATGATCAGAAGCCTTCCTTTTTGAACTGATTTTGATAATAACATTACCTGCTGGCTGGTGTCCTACATCACTGTGTCTTCATTCTCATATCTCACCTACCTGTGCTGTAGTGCAGAATTATGTGTTTATGTACTGCCATAGATATTTATGACTGTCGTCAATAATTAATAAGTATTGACAGTGAGAATATTACATGAAGCACTCTGTCAGAATTAATCTATAAATCACAGGAGGTTACACCTTTGAATAACCCAGAATTTGTTGCACTTAACGTCTCATCTCAAGCAATGCAAACAGTGCTTTTAGAAATACTGTTGTTCAATCCAGGCTGGCAAAAAAACCAAAACCAACCAAACAAACAACAACAAAAAAACAGCTTTGGAGTTCAAAAATGCCCACTCATGTTTAGGATGAATTTTCAGTATTACCTACTCTTTTCTCCCTAAAGATACATAACAATTTGGAGGAAAATACTTCCTAGAAGCATGTTTATCTCAAACTGAAGAATTAAGAAAGGCTTTTGAGAAGTGGGAAATGCTTATTGCTAAGGACGTGGTTCTTCTCTGTTATGAACATGCTTCTACTATTAACCCTTGCTGCTTGATATTTATGGTCATTTCATGAGAAGCTCAGGGTGCTCAAATCATGAGAACATCTTTCATTTTCCTTCCAATTTCCATTTTCTCTTTTCCTTCCAGAAGCTCAAAACTCACAACTTGACATTATTTTAAAGCACTTTTTGACAGTCTTGCCATAAGGGACAGGGCTGCTCTTTTTGAAAAACAAAGCTCTTAATTTGAAGATTACAAGCTATGGCCCAGGCTCCTTAATGCTGGAAGCTCTTGAGGCATCTGCCAAGTGTGAGAATGGGTTCACAGAAAGTTCAGTTGTTTACAGCAAAATAAAATAATAATAATAACAAAAGGGAGAAAAAAAATAAATGAAAAAAATGAAAAAAAGCGAGAAAGAAATGTTCCCATGCCCCGACACAGACACATCTCTTCCCGCCGTGCCGTCCCGCCGCCCCGCGAGAATGCAGACTATACCCCATGCACATCGGAAATGGACCCGGCGCGGCTCCCGGAGCAGCATGCACACGCGGAAGGGAAGGGAAGGGAGGGGACGGGGGTGCCTTCGCACGGTCTGATCATCACCGTAAAGAGTTAAAGAGAGAGTGAAATGGCTAACGTACACACACCCCGCTCCATACCGGAGAAGAGTCTCCCAGTTGAGGTTTATGCTCTGTGAGGACCAGGCTGAAACTGACCGCCCCCACGGCCACGCTGGACACCCCTAACCCTATCTCCAGCACGGAGAGCACCAGGAGGCTCCCGATGATCTGGCTGCTGGTGCACATCCTCCCTCGGTCATCCTTCCTTCCCGATCAGCCGGGGAAACCGCGCCTCCGCCTTCTCCTCCGCCGCTCCCGCGGCCCTAAGTCGCCCCCAAACTTTTCTTCCTTCGCCGGCAGCCGAGGCGGAGCGGAGCATCCGCGACCGCCGAGCGCTGCCGAGGGGCGGCGGGGCGGCCCCGGCGCCGCCGGGCCCCGCGTAGAGCCGCGCAGCGCCGCGCAGCGCTCGACCGGTAGCGAGTGCGGCGGCGGCGCGGAGCTCTCCAAGGTGCCGGGCCGGCGGCGGGGACAGGGCGCCGCTGGCGGCCGGCCGGGCAGCGCGGCGGTATGCAGCACCACGCTCCTCAGGGGCTGCGCCTCCTCCGGAAAAGTCGACCTTGTCTGATCGCCTCCTGCGCTCACATTGAAATGACCTCACTGGGATTTTTTTATTTTTTTTTTAAATTTCTCCCCCTCTTTCTCTTCTTGGGTTGGGAGTGGAGGGGAGAGGAGCGTGGCGAGCCCACCACAGCTATATTTATGTATGAATCTAGACCCAATGCACGGGCGAGGCGCTTCGACAGCCCCGCCCCAGGGCCACAGGGCACGGCACCTTCCTCCCGTCCTCCCCCCAGCAGCCGGTAAGCACACGTCCTCCGTCCCGCAATACTTGCACAAAAAGTGAGCCCCCTGGACGGAGTGCACATAGGCCTCTCTCATCCCAGGGGCTTCTATAAAAAAAGCAAGAGGAAGTCCATCTTCCCTTTGTATGAGTAAAAGAACTAGAGTCTATCATGTCTTACCACTGCAAAACTCTCAGATCTCTTCCAAAATGCTGCTGCCAAAATAGGCAACTGCTGTAGACAGTCCTGTCACTCTGACAATGGCCAGAACTGTCTCAGTCCTAAAGTAAATGACCAGCAAAGCAAAATATAATAAGAGATCAACAGCCTCTTATTGAACCATCCTGAATTACTTAGTACCAATCTCTATTTCTGGTACTCTTCTACAGGGAAGGCTTTGCCACTTTTGCTGCAGTTTTACAACTGAGATATACTGTGCAACATGGAGACATATAAATACTCAGTCTAGAACATGTGCTCTCATAAATATGGATAATCAGCTTGTGAACCGTTCACCTTAATAGAGCAGAAAGACTACATGAAAAATTCTAACCCCATCATGCTTCACAAATATAAACATCCTGCACGATATAGATTTTTTTCTCTATGCATTATTTTATATTATTATTATTATTAACACAATATGTATGGAGCTATTCTCTGTAGGCAAAAATGGAAAATTCTTAACCTGTATGGAAACCCTGTATTCAGGCATAAGAATGCAGAATAGTAGTCTAGACATACCCCCCCTTTTGATGGTACAGTTTGGAGGCTAGAGCATAAAAGCAGCAGGATCCTGATGTCTTTGGCCTCCAAAGTCTCTGTCTTGTGTTTTGAAAAGCCATCCATTCAATCACACTTATAAGAGAAGAACAAGCAGTATACATACATTATACACACTTGAGAAGTTGTGATTCACCAATACAATCCAGAGTTCAGATCTCATTTGTAGAAATCTTGCATACTTAATTACTGTGAGTGGAATGGGCTGGCATCAGTCTGTCACCCTCAGTTGTTAATGTTCTCTACATATCCAAGATGGAAAGAAAAGTCTCCTTTCATTAAGGTCTCAATGTTTTCTACTTTAAAACTTCAGCTTTTTTATATTTTCTCATGCTTTTCCCAATTCACAGAAGCAAGGTAAGTGACTAGTTCTTTACCTGTATTATAGTTAAAGCTGGATTGTCCCCTTTTCATTTCTTGTGTTTTAAATGGTACCTGACATCTCCTATCATTAAAAAATCAAGGCACAGCATAAAAGTTCCTAAGCTACTATATTTATGTGGGAGGATGGAGAAAGCACAGATTTTCAAGTACCCACATGGGTGTAGGAAGGTGTTTCTGCAATGACAGTATCCTTATTATGTCAGATTGTTATAAACGTTAAAGTGTCCTAAGGTGCAATGGTTTTACTGCTCAGAGTATATTTTACCAGGACTATAAAAACCATTGGTGATAAGAGAGGAATTGCATAATGACAGATATAATTAATATATTTAATACTTCCAGACAGAGAGTACCAGGGTAAAACTCATGTGACAGAAATAAGATTTCCATAAACAGCTTGTTTTATGTAACATTTCCACTTCAGTCATAATAAGCTGTCAGAAAGATGGGGGAAAGAGACCTTGTGTAAAGTGTGTCCTAGATGGCGATCACTTCATGTGACAGTTGTTACAACAGGGATATAAAACAGGAGTCCAGTGACAGGAGAGGAAGAGCTCTGGGTGCTTGCTTTCTAATCTGCAGACTGCAGGGAGGTGAAGAGCTGAGCGAGACCTCAGTCAGAGTTAATAAGACTGGCCAAGAGGAGCTGTGTGAGTTATCTCTGTTTTGCACCTTTCAAATAAAGGCAGGAAGGAAATGTAATATTCTAATCATTATCTTTTTAAAATGAAAAGATACAGCCTTTGTCCATGTAATCATTTTAGTTTATTTGTACTATGGTGTTGCATTGTCATGATGTGCTGATCTAGGCAATTAACTTTACACATGGGACTGTTCATGCATACATTTTAGTACATGTTTACATCTTTACGGCATTAAGGACTTCTTTTCCAGGGTTATTTAACAGCTTACTGTTTCAGCTGGCTCATTTCAAAATGTTTCCTTTATTTCTGTTTCCCATAACAAAATGGTTATGATGAAATAATAAAATAAAATAAATCATTCAATGTGCAGAGAAGTTTTCATTACAACTGCTGACAGTTAAACATTGAAATCTCATCTTCAAAGTAAAATTAACTATCAGGAGGACTTTGGATATTTTTTTTTAATTTAAACTGTTGGATTCAAGAACAAAAGTCATCAATCTTATTCTTCTTGACTTCTTTGAAGGAAAACCCTTTCCAGTTTTTTATCATTGGAGGTTTTAAAAATTATTGATGACAAAAAAAATCTAGTCACACAGTGAAATGAAGAGTAATTGGATGACAGTATTGTAATGAAGAAATAGGACTCAGAGTATGAAGTTTCAGTTTTTGTGGCTTTGAAGGCTGAAAGGTGGAACACTAAGAAGGTTATAGGCTCTCCATTGCAGACAACCATTTTTTGAGCATGTGACAGAGCTGCTTTGTGTAGCTGAATATACCCTGTAGAAGCAGTTGAGTTTATTTACTCCGTTATTTCATGTGTCTCTAAAACAAAGATCATTATTGTGAATAAGAACAGGACCCATATCACTGAATCAGATTTCTGGCTGTTAATCCAATCCAGCTTCAGTAAATTGAGAATAAAATTGTAACTCTATAGCCATCTCATGACTGTGTAGTGGGTACAGTTCCAAAAGGGGAGATACTCACCCCCTAAACATTAGAGTCTAATATTTGGGTGTTTTATAGCAATACTGGATAAATAAACAGATGTGAGTGGCTTTTGAAGCTGTATTACTCTTTCAGCTTTTGAATGTTCTTTTCTAGCCCATCCTAAGAAATATCAGTTGAGCTATCTTGCAATAAATGACATTGACTAAATGACTGCTACCAAGGTATCATTTACAAAATGTAAAAATTCAGCCTCAGGGACAGCTCTCAAATCCTCTTCTTTGACAAACACTTTCTACTTTCCCCTGGCTTATAAGATTTCATCTCTTTACACCGATTTGTCACCTGGATCTCTTCAATTAAGTTTTACAGAAGCAAAAGCAGTGAAAATCTGTACTCTAATAGTTTTCAAGTATTTGGGGTAATAACTGCTTTGTATTCTACAAAGAGATAGCCATTGATTTCATTCTAAAACCAGTTCTATCAATTGAATCCTATCTATAGGAATGTGTACAAAACAGCCTTTAGAACATTCCTCTTCATTTTCATGAGAAATTAACTCGTAGTTTATTTTATATCTTAACTTGTTCATACTCAAAACAAGCATGGCTGATGTTCTAAAATGGGAAGCAAATTTCCATCAGAATCTTATACAGGAGAAGATAAGAAGGGACTGTCATTGATTTTTTTTCTGTTTAAAATTCAATATTGAGATAAACTTCCTGCTGAATAAGTAGCCTTACCCCTGCAAAGCTAGGATCTTTAGTGCTTTCATGGCTTCTAAGGTTGTTAGGTCACAATTGCTTTTCTTGGATCACATACACACACACAAAATCTTATGACATATCCTAAAACTACTTTTCAATGTTTTCAGTCAAAAGGAATTAGAGGAATTGTGAGCCACTGATGTTAGGTGGAAAAAAATCACCTGTTTTCAGGTCTGGGTTGGATAGTGAAACGTGGATGGGCTCTCCAGTCCATCTCTAGTCCAAGTTAAAAGCAGGCGTGAATTAATTTTTCCCTGACTTAGTCTTACCTACTCCCTGTGGTCTGCAATCAAGAGAATGTCTGTTTCCTGAAGACACCTTTTTCTAGTTTGATTAGGAGGGAGAAGGGTCGTCCTTCAGCAGAAGAGATCAAAAATCTGTGCACAAATTTTAAGTCTCCTGCAACTCCTTGAAGGAGTAATCAAGTGCATGTGAAATTATTTACACCCATGTTACGTGTCAGTATATGAATCTTTAAAATGATTTTAAAATGATTTACCTAACAGCATGCTTAAAGTCTGCAGCTGAGCTGAGAAAATCTCTTTCATACAACATCAGTATCCTGTTAAATAGATGCCACATTAATATGGTTTCTGTGGAAACAGCGAGAAATTATGATAATCAGAAAAGCCTACTGTTTTCTCAAGAACTGTGTTTTCTTGGCTCCACAGCAGATAATACTCTGCCAGTGGAGCCCCCTGGATGCATCTACAAGCAGCAAAAGCATGTTCTCCCAAAATCTCTGAACATTAGTATGATATGCAGGACAGAAATTTCTGATTGAACAAGTGCTCTGTTACTAACACAGATTTATTAATTGTAAAACTAACCCTATCAATTTCTTAGTGCAGAAGCACCATGTTAAACAGGCTTTC